GAGGATCCTTAAAATATATGTTAAACGAAAGTGTACACGCAAGTGCTCTTCACTACTGAAAAGAAGTCTCGCGGAAGGAACGCAAGTCTGACTGATTGATGTGGAAGGAAACTATTTTCACAAGCATTTTTGTTTCTAGCATCGTACTTGTCACTTGTACATCAATATATCGATATATGCGTCGAAATAATTAACAGTTTCGAAAATATTTCAGTCTTGGACGATTATCCCAACGTAACTTCACAAGTAAAAATAATTTTTAGGATTTTGAATATTCGAATTTATAGCTCCTCTGCTATTAACGTGACGCGTGATGTCAACAAAACATTTGAAGTGGAAATACGCGGTTCTAACGACTCCTCTTGTCCTTGTAACGTCCTGCCAGACTTTTTTTACCAGCAGTGAACAATATACTATTCATTGGTGGGAAGAAGTTTCGCAGAAGGAATCCGATTGGTTAATTTGGAAGGGAACGCCTATTTTCACACGCATTTTTGTTTCTGCCATGGTATTTGTCACATATACTAATCCGAATAAACGGCCGATCTGTATCTAAACCTCGATGCATTAGCGTAGGCATAGAATCCGAAGAATTCTAACCTCTTATTTTGTATCGATACGCGTTAAGTAAATTACAACTTGCAACGATAGTTTAACTTATAAATGTAATTTTGTAAATGTAATCGAGCAGTTATGATTAATAATTGTACTAAATATATATGCGAAATAATTAATAGTTTCGAAAATATTTCAGTCTTGGACGATTATTAACGTAACTTCGTAAATGAAATAAGTTTGCGAATTTGAATATTCAAATTATAACACTTCTATATAGCGTGTGATTGTCGAGAAAGCGTGTAAAGCGTGGAAATGGATGATCTTAGGGCGAAGGATTCCTTCTTGCGAGGCTTCTTCTAAACTTATATACGTACGTCTCGTGCCAAAGTGGAGGCGTCCTCGGTGTGATGTTTCAAAACTTTGTTCGATCTTAAACGATTTCTGAGGATGTGGTGGGTGGCGAGGGCAGATGCGAATCGACTTTGCACCAGAAGAGTTCGCACCGCTTCGAGTTCGGCTTCGACACCCGGCCCCGAAATGCCTAGAGCACCGGAAATATTGCGCAACTGAAGCTGTAGCCTCTCCAACGTCGCGACGACCTCTCCGTACGCTGAAATATGCAAGCAACGATAATTAGAGAGGTTCTTGAAACGCTTCACCCCGAGGCGAGGCGTTCTCCTCTCTTTCTTTCTCCGTGCTATTCTTACGAGAAACAATACTATTTTTCTCCTATTTTTACAAAAAAAAATCATCGTACAACGAACGCGATTCTTTTGACAAAACCTGCGTAACACTTATATTAATACCTCACGCATGAGAGGGAAACATGGTAAACAGAGACAGGGTGACGCGAACAAGTGGTCCTCTTCAAATCATCTAGTCCAACACATTCATCTTTCTTCCCCGTCCACACGTGCACACGAATTTTTCTACAAACTTAACTTCGAGATTATTGGACTTTTTTTTTTCTTTTTTCTCCCCGTACTAATAATTCTCCATCAGTTCTCACACTCGAGGCGCACAATTAGGAAAGAAATGGAAAGAGGTCTGGATTAGAAGAAAAAAAGAAGGAAATATTTATACGAAGAGCAGAGAAGTGTGTAGTTAGTTAATAATGTACCATCGGGTGAACTTACTGAGGGGCCTGGGAGGCTCCTCTACTTCTTGCGCGGTGACGTGCGTTGGACGGCCGACGGTGGTCACCTCGTCCTGCGTGTATGCGAGATTTTCTTGGCCCGAGAGGCTGGTCGCGTGGCTCTCCAGAGCTTGCAGCTTCTTCGATCCGCGTAACGATCGATTGAGTATCTCCTGCCTCTCCTCCTCATCCTTTCGTTTACGTAGCTGCTCCTACACAATCAAATCGTCCGTTTACCTCTCATCTTTCATCCAACGCGATCCAAAAGGAAAAAAAAAAAAAAAACAATCCTTTTTATCCCCTGAAAACATCGCTTCGACGTTCGATTAATATTAAATCGTGCAAAGATGAACGATAGTTTGCTCTCGCGGTATAATATTGTTACCGATGGAATCGTTATGGATATAAATCGTTATCTATATTCGAGCTATTGTAGATCGAATCTTAGAGACAAATTTCATTCCCTTACCTCGTTCGTCGTATCGTGATGTCTTGCGTAATTTTGGAAAATATCTTCCGTAAACACGCGATCGTTCCACGCGTCGTTCAACATCGAGGGGGGGAACACATTTATAACACTTATCACGAGATTCCGTTGGGGAATCGTCTACTAACGTTGGAAACGTAGGTTTATCAATTATTTCTTGGCATACCTTTTTTTTTTTTTTTTCTTTTTTGCTGTGTAACTTTACACGCTTCGGGGATACGATTTACGAAAAAGTCATGCAGATTCTCCCGCACTCGTTCACACGTATCAGGACACTTATCAAGAGCGAGCGTTATAAATAGCGTGTGAGCAATCGAATAATAATAATAACGATAGATGGAAATAATGCTTTCGACATAGATTTATCTGTTACCGATATCGATATTTCTATCGCGAGATTATTTTTCCTTAAAATAAACGAAACGATAATAATCGAACGCTTTACGTCGAGTGTTCTAATATTCGTGAACGGTTATTGGCGGCCATCTTTCTTAACACGGACGTTTAATGAGAGACAAATATAAAACGAAATATATATAACGTGCACGTGAATAAGCAAAATAGTGTAACGTAAAAAATTCAAAAGAGATAAGTGAACGTTCCGTCTAACTTACGAAACCAGCATTCGTAATTTAACTATTTCTCGGCTAGTGTTGCGACTATCGATTATCGATATTTTATCGATAGTTTTTGATATATCGTCGAGATATCGAAACAAGTGAGTGGAATAATTATTTTTATCAAAGTAAATAGATTTTATTAAAAAAAAATTATATTCCACTTAATCACCTCGAAATAATAAGAAACAATAATAAGAATTCTAGTTACTTTCATCCGTTATCCAAACGATATATTATTGATATACGTCGATTTACGTTCGATTTATCGACGATATTACGTTATAGTCTATTTAAATCAGAATATGTTAACAAATCAATAAAATATCGTTGGATCACGAATAACCGTTAAAAATAATTACTTCGAATAAGAAAAGGAATAAAAACTTCGGTATATTCGAATTGTAATCAATATTACTGACCGATACATTACCGACGATATATTGACATTATCGACATTTATCGACGATGCACAATTCTATTCTCAAGCGACGAAAATGCAATTTCGATCGAAAAATATCGAGTCTCCAGAACGGATGGACAAGATCAAACGAAGCTACGAGAGAGAAGTTGCCGTGTCTGGCAAACTTTGCTCCTCCCCTATATCTTGTCTCCGTAAGCGAAAATCTCGGGCGGAGAAGGTTGGGACTGCATCGGGTTACAATCGACGCGGTTACAGCGATCGGTTGTGTTGAACGCCCACCGCGCGATAAAGCGCGTCAACCGCGCGAGAATCGTTCCACAACCGATTTTTACGTAACCGTTTCGAGGTCTATGGCGTATTATTGAGAAATAGTTGGACGAAGCCAACCACTCGCGTTACACACGTACGGCTTCCCGTACGTCACTTCTCCCCTTGCTCGATGGATTTCCTGCGATTCTGGCAACGTTTCGGCCAGAAAATCTGCTAAATGTTTTCCTTTCCCGTGAATAGGTAAGCCATTCGAAAATTGAACAGAGATCTTAACGACACGCGACATTAAAGAGAGAGTGGTATATAAATAGACAACTTTTTCGTCTACGCATTCCTCGATATCGATTTATCTTACGGAAAATTTTGAACGTTCATCGCGATGAATATACGGCGTACGATTCTAATAAATTCAGATACCCAAAATTTGAAAGACGAAAGAGAAAGTTATCGAAGATGAGAATTTTCTACGGACAGTTTTCGCGGACAGAAGTTCTGAGAGTAAAAAAGTAAAAGACTTTTTCTCTTCTTTTTTTTTTTTTTTTTCGAGGATAATATCCTCGAGAAAGATGACTCGTTATCTCGAAGCGGGACGGATGTTTCTGGTTGGTTGGCGTTCTGTAGTATCTGGTTTTTAATGAGCAGAAGAAAAGCAGAGAAGGAGAAAAAAGGAGGAAAAAATTCCGGATTGGCCGTTAGAGCGGGAGAGCGAGGTGAGGGTAGGGAAAAATGGCTCGGTTCGTTCGCCTGTACTATACCTATCGAAATTTACCACTCGTAACGTTACACTCGAGCCTCGTGTAATCTTAGACTATCGTTACAAGGGGTTCTTTACATTCCAAGCCACACTTGACTCATGAGGTGCACGAGGTGAAGGAATTTTGTAAAGGCAAACACATCGTCGGCCGCCTCGATTTTCGTCTCTCCAAAATTTTCATCTGTAAATCTCACGGGATCCTCTCGATTCGTCGAGGAAGCGAAAACGAGAGAATGGAAATTCGAAAAAACGTGGATTCCAGTAGAAACTAGATCGTTCGATAATTATCGCGTCCGGATCTCGTAATTTCCTGTCGGGACGTGGACAATCGTGATCGGTACAACGATTTCGAACAACATATTCCCCGCCTTTGCCCCGTTATGCAACGCTAAATTATTCATGCGGAATACCACGTGCGATTCTTTTCGCACGCCCACCAAAATATCTCTCCTCCTCTACGCCAACGTTCTCATTTACTCGTCGTATATACCCGTTTATAATCCTCGCTCGATAAAAATTACGTTTTGCTTGGTAAACGTCGATCTTTTCCGTCGATCATTTGGCGCGATTATCGTCAATTTGCCAACGTTTTTATCGTTACTCGTTTCGAGACTCGTTTAATAAAAAAAAAAACACGAAATCTTTGCTTTTGATAAACGTCGCTTTTCCATCGATGCGAGGAAAAAAAGTCTCTTGATCCTCTCTGATCAACGTCGGAGAAAACGTCGAATCGAAACGTTATTCCGCAACGTTATTCTTATCGCTAATTCCACCGATTGAATTATTCACCGATTTCTATCGCGCGAAACGTTGAGGCATTCGTGAAGCAGAAACGAAGATGTAATCGCAAAGATTACGTATACGCGTCGAAAGAAGAGAAAGAGAGATGGTGTATGAAAGAAAAAATGAAAAGAAAAGAAGGAAAAAAAAGAGAAAGAGAAGAGAAGAAAAAGAAAAGGCTCGTTACCTGGTATTTTCTGATGGAATGCAGTTGTTGCTGCGTAGGCTCGGCATTCGCGTTATCGGTGCTGTCCACGTTATTGTTCTGCGTGGACAAACGTAGGTTATCTTTCGGCGGTCTGGCAGGTGCCCTCTTTTGATCTCTCGGGGGGATGGCAGGTTTCACCCCGTTCAGACCGGTCTAAAAATCCGTTTCAAGGGGGGGGAAAAAAAAACAGAGGCTCGCATTAAAGCAACCCCAAGATGCGTACAAAGGGCGCCGCGATCGCGACTACCCCTCTCCCTCCCCCCAAAAGAAAGAAGGAAAGAAAAGAAAGAAAGAAAGAAAGAAAATTTTTTCTCCTTCTGTTTTTCATCGTTCTTTTTTTTTTCTTTTTTTTTTTTTTTCTAAAGGAATACCGTACTCCTTTCTACGGCGGAAGCGAAGAGCCAACGATCGAGGGAAAACGCGAGATTATCTTGTAAACAGAGGAGGAAGAAAAACACATGCAATAACGAGCACGTGCACGTGTATATTACCTTTCCTCCTACGTAAAGAGACGGTCGCTGGATTCTATTTCTAGGATTCTTTCTAACTATCTACAAGCTGCGTCATTCCCGTCTAAAAATTCCCTCTAAAGCTCTCTACGCATGCATTTAACTCTTCGCGACTCTTGCGAAATTTTCAAACCCCGATACAACCGTCGAGGGGAAGATTTGCAAGAGGTTGCGAATCATCGTCCTTGCGAGAGAAGTAAGCGAAAGGGCAGAAGCGAAAGAATTTACCTGATTTACCTCGGCAAGCTGATGATGATGATGATGATGATCGTAGCGATGGCGCGAAGCGTACGTACGTATTATCCTCCTTCTCTCCCGATCCGGCGTCCCCCCCTCCTTCTCTTCCCTCCTTCCCTCCGAGTTTTCCCACGAGTTTGACCGCGAGATCAAACTCGACTCGGCGAATTCGAGCACGCGGCTCGATCCACCAAGATCGAATAAGGAGATCGCCTCGAGATCGAGCTTGGAATCGAGCCCGTGATACTCGAGCGACAGCCTCGAGTTGGTCCTGTTTTGCGCATGCGCGAGAGACGACTCGCGCAACGAATTGCGACAATTCTCGTCCGTTTCTCTACTTCTACTTCCTCTTCCACCTTCTTCTCCTCCTCTTCCTCGAGCCGATCGCTTATTCGCGGCGAGGAGGAAGGAGAGCCTCCCCTCCTTCCCCTCCGCCCCGTTCGAAAAACGGACAACGTTTTCTTCGCAAGAATTATTGGTGTCGTCGAGGCGGGGAGAGGAGTGGACCGACCACGAATCGTACTCCTCCTCCTCCTGCTCCTCCTCCTCATCTCCCTCCCCCCGGTCCACCATTTTCGAGCGGTTAGAGCAAGAGTGATGATTAGTGGCGCGAGGCGTGGTTGCGTGCGGAAGCGTGCAGCGCGGTGCGGGGTGATGCGTGGCGACGAGGGTGCAGAGAAAGCGTTGGAAAAGCATACACTTCACTTTGGACCTTCTTACCTTGTTCGAGGAGGGGCCGAGTACGGGCGTTCCTGGTACGAGATCCGTAACAGGCTTGCCACCGAGTTGAAACCTACTACTACGATCGTACTTTGCGCGCACGATACCCGCCCCCCCTTCGTCCCCGTTCGCTACCACTTTATTATTATTGTTATTGCTACCATCACTACCACCACCACCACCACTACCACCACCGCCGTCACGTTTCGGGTTTCGTGACAGCGACGCGCTCTTGTTCCCGTTCTTGTTCGGCGGGGGATAGACGGGGTGGCGTTTGGCGACGGGGACGAAGTCGGGGGGGCAGTCGACGGCCACCTCGCGGTAGGCTTTGCCGCCGACCACCAGGAAGCTACCACGGTCCACGTGCTCGAGATCGACGGTGGACGCGTCGCTCCTCAGGGTCGAGTAGCCGCTCGAGATTTGTTGATGCCTCTTCTTCTTCGGCCGCTGCTGTTGTTGCGGTTGCTGCTGGTGCTGCCGCCTCGAGGACGAGGAGAGGCTGCTGCCCGACTCGATACCGGCTAAGTCGTCGCTCGAGCCCGCGCGTATCAGCGACTCCTCCGCTTCCACGCCTCTCCCCCCCTTCTGTTTCGACCGATGATGATGATGGTGATGGTGGTGATGGTGGTGGTGATGGTGCTGGTGATGATGCTGATGGTGACCACCGCTCGACGACGATTGCTGCTGCTTCTTACCAACCGTCGATTTGCTGCTCGAAACGACCGACGGGCAACTACTCGTTTCCGATTTTAACTTATCCTGTTTGCCGCGAGAGGGACTGGACAGGGAAGCAACAACGTCTTGCTCGGTGGCACGTGGTATTCGTGGAATGGTGGGGCATTGCTCGGCGTCGATCAATCGAGTCAGGTCGGACACCTCGTCCGATCTCATCAAAAATCCTTGGAGATCCTGAAGATCGGCCAAGCCGTAGGCGGGATTGTCGAACGAGGTGGTGGTGTTTGTGTTGGTGTTGGTACTGGCGTTGGTGTTGTTGTTGGTGGCGGCGGCGGTGTTCGTTGCGGCCCTCTGGTAGAGTGGCGCCACCTTGATCTCCGGGACGACGGGTCCCCGGCAAGGGGAGCCGAGATCTATCCGCCTGGCGTCGTAGGTGGGCGAGCCTTTGCCACGTGTCTTCGCGTGTCTCAACACCAGGCTGGTGTCGAGGGGGGCGGTGCTGTCCGATCTGCCGGAGGAGCTTCTCGGGCTGGCCGAGTCGTCGCTGCACGTCTTCAACATGGTCGGATAATCCTCCTTCGCGAACGGATAATCCTCCTCCACGTCGAGATCGACGCTCGACTCCTTCTGCCCTTCCGTTACCCCCGTATTGTCCTCTTCCTCTTCCTCCTCGTTCACCCCCTCGTCCTCCTCTTGATCCACCTCCTCGTCCTCGAAATCTTTGAAAGGAGGTTTAAAACCGGTAGTTGTATCGTACCTGCCCACCTCCTTCCGGATTCTCTCCTCCTCGTCCTCGAGGCGGTTCTCGATCTTCAGCTCGATCTTGAGCATCGGCGGCTGACCGTTCCGGATGGCCGGTTCGCTGTTCGGATCGATTCTAGCGCGGTTGTCTAGGTTGTTGATGCGTGGAGGCGGCGGCGGCGGAGGCGGAGGCGGCGGCGGCGGCGATTTTTTAAGGGTGTCGTTTTTAAGGTTTAGGGAGAGGTCGAGGTCGCTAGCGCTACGGGGAGGAGAACGAAGAAGCTCGTTCCTGAAATCGGACGAGCGGCTGTTTACCTTGTTGGGATAGGCCTTTTGAAGAAGGGTGTCGGGCACGTCGACTGGTAGCTCCCGATGAGGCCCTAGCCCGCCAGGGGCCCACATCTCATCCGGGCCCAACCCTTCCTGCCCCTTCTTCGAGCTGGTGTTGTTGTTCTCCTGCACTTGCTGTTGCTGCTGCTGTTGCTGCTGCTGCGAGTGTGTGTCCGTCAAGCCACTGCCGCTACGCCTTCGGGACCTGGAGACAATTGAAGAAAAAATTTTGTCACTTCTTTTCTTTCGTCTTTGCCGCCCCTTGGTTGACACGAATTCGTTATATATATATATATATATATACATATTATACGTGTTTTCTAAATTTTGTTTTGTTTTTTTTTTTTTTTTTTTTCAATTTCGAATTCGTTTCGACCAGCGCAGTGGAAACAGGTGTGTTTCATCGAGGTGAAAAGAAAGGAGATTCAAAATACGTGTTTGATATATAGGGATATATACATTATATATATATAGGGATTGTATCGGGGATATATTTTAGCAAAAGGTTTTTAGAAAAATAGTACTTGGTGCTACGCAAGCGAATTACTGGGAAAAACGATACGTGAGGTTACTATATTTGGCTATGTAAAAGAGAGAAGATGCAAATTGTTACAAACTCTTGTCCTCTTCGAATTCGTTCGTTTCCTGTTTGATTGATTGAATGATAAAAGGAGGAAATGTTATAAAAAGATGATATAACTTGTCGGTGCCCAAGAAAGAATCGCTAGGTAAAAATTTACGCGACACTGGCTTCCTTCCTCTGACGAAAGGGCTCTCCTTTTCATATTTCACCCCTTGGTAATTACAAAGTGCAATTTACCCGCGCGATGCTTTCGACTCGTTGACATTTAAAACGCGGGACGGAAATGCTCGCCTCGATGGAAGCTTTATCGGATCCGAAAGGAAAACGGGAGATTAAAAAATGACCGTGCTGCTTTCGCTTCGATATCGTTAATATCTTTAACATATCTTTCGTTATTCCGTAAAATGAAATTTTACAAAATTACAAGAGTCACGATAAGCGATAAAATTCGATCGAATTCCGTCGAGTTTCCAACTCCAAGTTCTCGATAAGTCGAGGAATAATTGGAAAAATTTTTTGTCATCCGACGAAAAAAAGCCAATCTCCGTGAAATGAGAAAAATTGGGAAGAAAGGAGAAGTAGGTTTCGAAAGTGAGTTTAGAAAACTCGCAAGAATTCGTTCTCCTGCGGCTGTGGCCTGGCATTCACACGTCGGTTATTACCGGTCGAATGAGAGCAGCGAATGAATAACGCGTTAGAAATTTCAGCCGAATATATCGAGCTGAAATTATTCGATCGTTGCAATCGTGGCTTTCGCGTGAAATTTCGTACAGATGGAATTCCTCGATATAAATATTAAAACGACTGAGCCAGAATTTTTGTTAATAATCGTTAAAGGATAATTTACTTTACAACGACCAACCGTTGTTTTGAAAAATATCGAGAGCGATATTCTCAACGGTCTGTAGACGAAAGGTCGTCCAGGACGAATTCGTGGAATGAATACGATTTTTTTCCACCGCGTGGATCCAGTTACAAAGGGGGAGGGGGAGGGGGGCGAAGAACAAGAGGCGCGACAGGCATTACGCCCGTACCCTAAGTGGCGGCCACGTGAATTCCACGAGTGGGTATGCCCGAAGAGAGCCGAGACAATGGCCGAGTTCGGGACAAAAGCGACGGAAAACGCGCACGCGATACGCGCCTATAAACGAGTTCACGTGCTTTCTCCGTGCTTCTTTTCAAACGTGGATCCACTGGTTCTCTCGAATATTCTCTCCGATTTCTTCTTCTCGTTCGAATAGAAGGTAGCAACGATGGATGGAAAAAGAGAGAAAGAGAGAGAGAGAGAGAGAGATTTTCCGATTATTCATCGTCATCGTGGCGATCATTATGTGGTCGATCAAGGACGATGGAGCAAGGGACAACGATGGAAGAGTACGCGATCCGATAGACGGAACGACAAAAAGATAAAACGTATCGAGTGACACACGGTTGGTATGCGGGGAACGTGTACATATACGTGCAATCTATCTACGTGGCGGCTGCTCAGCGTTGGGAAACTCGACCAACTCTCTCTCTCTCTCTCTTTTCGGTTAAAGCGGGAAAACGCTGAAATCTAGGCTAGCCGGTGGCTGCTTTTATATATAAATAGGGATTATTTACTGTTAAAAAGGGAACACACAACAACACTCGTGTCGATTCGACGGGGTACTTCCGGGGAACGATTCGATTTAAATCCATTTTCGTTTCGCGCCTTTTTCTTTTTCCTTTTCTTTTTCCAAGAATAATTAATCAAAAAAAGGATTTTTTTTTTTAGTAAGTAAAGAACAAAAAAGTGGATCTGTTTTCCCTTTAAAAAAAAATAAATAAGGAATAATACGTAAAGCAAAGTTTATCCGCCTTGTACGAGAATTCGAAGAAAGGAATAGAGCTCGTTTCGGAGAATGGAGACGAGAAGGCTTTTATCCCAGGCAGGGATACGTTCCACGAAGTATCCCGTCGTTGTTCGAAAGAGGTTGAAAAGCTGGGACAGACCTAATCGCGTTGCGCCTCTTCAGCACTCGAACTCTCTTCGGCCGTCTTCTTCTTCTAAGGAATTCGCTAAAACCGTCCCATCTTGCTCTACGACTCCGCTCCGATACTTCCGATCTAACAGCGTCTACTGAAAAGCTAGACGACTCCATTTCCCGATATATTTATAAGAGCCGATCGAGCAAGCTTCGCAAAAGCCAAATTGCAAGAATTCCACCGGGAGCCTGAACCGTACCTGGCAAAGGTGGAACGGCCAGGTAACGCCGCTTTAGCCTGTTAGAGAACAAGGCTTTTCCGACCGATTATGCAACTCCCTCCGTGTCCAGGCAAGTACGAGAAATTCCGAGAGACCGAGACACTGTCAATCGAGTTTTGAAAATGGAATGTGGAATTACGGTCAACATTTCGTGGATACCGTTGCTCGTTAACGATCGTTTTGGCAAATACCTAAATACTCGTATTTCCATGGTAATGATCCACGCCATGAACAGGTATTATCGTATGTAACAATCTTTTACGATGTTAGTTTTGCGAAAAAAAATGCATTTATTGGATTTGCGAGCGTGTCCGGATGACGTTCGAAATGATCGTGGACACGTGGAGTGTAGCAGGATGCCTCGTAGACATGCCTTTTTAACTTCCGGCAAACGGTAACGTCCGTGGAAGGAGGCAGGGAAGGGGAAAGGAAGGATTCTCAGGAGGCAAAAACGGCAAAGCCTCGGTTTTCCTCGAATCGATTTCCATACAAAAGAACTCTACGATCCGTCGTAGGGAGCAAAATCGCTTCAAAAACGCTCACGGGTCGTGAGCGCGTTTCGATAAAAGCGGCAACTGGCGTCGCCGTAACGTCGAAATAAGAGAAAAGGCGTATATGTATATACGTGCGTATATGTGTATATGTATATATATATGAATGTATGTTATGTATGCGCACACGACGACGATAGCTGCGTAGAAGAGAGTGGAGAGAAAGACAACGCGCGAACGTCGGTGGTTGGAACACCTACCAGTGTAGCGTTTTCAGGATTCTCATGGCGTGGCTTCTCGACAATTCGTCCTTCGTTCAAACCTCATGGACGGACGAGCAGCTCTCGCAGCTAGCGCTCGGTGTGCGACCAACCAACGAACGAGCTAAGAATCTCAATCGCTCGCTATATCTCCATTTTCCTCTCCCTCTATCTCCTCTTCCCTCATCCCTCCACTCTCATCTCTTCTTCTTCTTCTTCTTCTTCTTCCTCCTCCTCTTCTTCTTGTTCCTCTCCTACGCGATCCTTCCTCCTGTATCACCTCCCTGTTCCCGCCCTTTCGTACATTCCCACCGCCCTCGGATCGCACCACACGCACAAATATTCCACCTCGTAGATCGGTTTCCCCGCTCCCCTCCACATCGACCCACACCGACCACTTTTCCTTCGGTCACGCACCGTACTACACGCAACCGACGATCCGCGGAAAGATCCGCGATTCACACTCGTATATACGCGCGATCGAGGAACGAGAAGTTCATCCACTTCGAAGGAATGGATGGATCGCGTTCGTATCACTGGTCGGACGCCGCCGCGTCCATGTTCCCTCTTGGGTTTAACGGGAGAAACGAAGGAACGGAAGAAGAAGAAACGGGCGAAGAAAGAGAGAAGGAGAGGAAAGAAGCGCGAGAAGCGCAGACTCGATGCTGGCCTGCCAAGGTGTATGCACCTTTCGAAGGCTGCGAGGAACGAGGAAAGAGAAGAAGGAAGAGAAGTAGGAGGAGGAGGAGGAGTGCACTATATCGTACGGAGAACGCTCGTACCGGTTTTGGCCCGTCGTTGGACAGGTATTCCTGACTCCGTTAACCGCCTTAATTGCGCCCTGCTCATATCACCCGAGGGGGAAAACCGAAACGCTTTTCGTTTTACCCTCTCCTCTCTCCTACGTGTTCCCTCCCTTCGATCGAGCAATTCTCGATCGGCACGCGGTGCAAAAGATCGCCAGTCGCGTCTCGAGATCCTCTCCGCTTTCACCGAACACGCCTCCTCTTTTCTCTCTCTCCTTTTCGCGACCAACAAAAGTGGTCGCTATATACTCCAACGATTTTCTCTTCGCGTTTCGAGTATCTTCGATGATCGAGAATCGATGACGAAGAAGGAGGAGTCGACGACAACAACCACCACCACCACTACTTCTCACTATCTCGAAGTATTGCACTATGAAATGGTTTTCTTTTGAACTAAACTTCTCTCTTTCTCTCTCTCTTTACCCGCTACACTTTTTTTTTCCGCACTTTCCAGCTTTCAAATTAATATCGAATCGGTCGATCGGTGGTGTAACGTAAGACGCAATGTAGAAACGGTATAAAAGCATGGAAGAACGCACGAGGAACGCTGGCATCCCTCCAGCTTCGAACTGACGTGAGTTTGTTGGCTTCGCTTTACTCCGGCCGAGGCAAGCCGGTGTCCCCTTCTCTCGATCTTTCTTTCCCTTTCCCCCCACTCCGCCCCCCCTCCTCTCCCTGTTTCTCGTACCCTCTTCCTCATTCGTGGCGTTTCTCTTCTTCTCTTTCTTTCCCCGCCTCCCTTTGACCACTTTACCTGTCCCTCAACGTCACCTCTCTTTCCCGCTCACCGTGCCTTTGGTCACCACCACTTTTCAGTTGCGCGTTCTCCTACCTTACC